GTATATAAGTATTGAAATCCGGAATATGTCCGCCACTATCCTTCTCAGGGATCAAAGAAACGTGGTGTCGTGATTGCCAACGCTACGCGGGATCAAGAAGTGCAAGGAAACAGCTGGGATATAACACACTGTGAAGTTCGGTCAGGAACGCACAGATTATTGCTGGTTGGCTCTGAAACGTTTGACCCACTAGCCCAAGAGAGTGCTGAGAAATCTGAGAGTGCAATGAAAAAAGAGTCCAAGGAGAGAATAGAGACCAACACATTGTCACACGGAGTGACTACCGCCGAGTCTAGCTGACGTTGATCTGTGCCATGTTCTTTTTTTGCATGCTAGGGGATGGTCAGGGAGCTATTCTTTGCTGTCATGAGGTGTCATGTTGGACTTGTTTGTCTGTTAAAATACAGTTTAGAGAAAAGCAAAACGGAGGTGAAGGAGATCTTAGAGACTTATTATACAGTGATACATGGAGTGCCAATTGTCGACTCTCCGCTGTCATTAGCTGGGGTTGCACTTCGTACCTGTATAGAAGGGCAAAGTCAGGGTGATATATGATGTTGTATCGAGGTGCTATATTGGAGGTGTCAATTACCTACAGTATATTGAAGTATGTGCGATATGTCAAGGCTAGGCTTTTCGGCTGGAGTGAATTTTTTTTTCACACTCACAGGGGTTAAATTAACAATCTTTGAACTTGGGAATGGACGAACTGTGATGAACGGGGATCACGGAGGAAGATGGTAACGACAGAAGTGATCGTTGATAGTTGGTTGGTTTGAACTGCGGGTCAGTTGCCATATGAGAATAGCCGGTACGCCAACTGCTTCATAAATGATCTTACTGATATAATCGCAGCCTTGGCATGGCGCGTGATCAGCACGTCACCACATCTGTTTGTCGAAGCTCTGGTTGTTACATATCTTATACGCACAATTAAATTTCACATCTGTAGTATGGAAGCTCTGGTTATATACCTCCTACGATAGTTATTACTGGGTGCTTTTTTTGTCTCAATTTATTGACCACAACCCATCGAAGGATAGGGTGTATACTAAACTATAGGTGTGATAACATGTAACTCTATCCAGCGATCAAAAGGCTAGAATTGGAGAGATTGAGATTGAGACTCTAACTCTCCAACCACAAGGCCTATGACTAAAGGGCCCCAAACAGAGGTAAGTCAGTAAATTCGCAAATCGATCCGAACTACCCACTGTGTCCTTATAAGAGCTTCAATATTCTCCAGGATCCAATACACTGGTCGATATACAGACATCCGAGTGTTGGATCACAAGACAATAGGAGAGATAAAGTACACGTGTATACGATATTAATTCGCGTTGTGCAAATATAAACACGTACGATAAGACGTGTTCGTCGTATATAGTGTGTGTGACACTATAGATTGCATTGCAGCAACTGTACTGAAATCGCACACGCAAGTATACACTCCAGTAATATATATTGCACAATCAATTTTAAAATCTACGCAAGTCTGGTACTGTGTCAAATCCATACTTCGATACTTTATTGAATTTCTCCGCTCTGAATTTAACAGATTTCGGAACGAACACGGGTTTAAATTATCTGTTATAGCGCTTTGCAAACGTAACATGCAATCAACCCAGCACAAGCCAGCCAAGATATCCATTATAAATGCGCATCTTTACTATGTTGGAACATATATGACGATCTTAACTGTTAAGTACGTGCTGATTTGCGAGTGTGTACGAAATACAACTTGGGTCAATCATATATGTACATATCTACTTATCGACAATATGTACCTAATATGTGTTCCGCGAGTGTTTACGAAGTTTTTACAATAGAGGCCAACTTATACGCGCCGATCAATAATTCATAGGTGTGATCTGTATATGTAAATACATGGTATTTTCAAAGGCGAAATATGCATTGTCGCCTATATATCATAATGTTAATTTTAGGGGGCAATGTATAAACAGGATGTATTTTATATACTTTATTTTAAAAAATATTAAAAAACTCGAAATCATTTTTCATTTACGTTAAACGTTTTACTGCTTGCATCGGTACTGCAAACTGCAAAAGGTGTCTAATTTAAAAGGCTATGGTTCGACCAGGGGGCCGTGGGCTATACACGAAAGAGACCATCCATATATGTACCATCATTTTGGCGGGCTTTATTCAGCAGTCTGGTGCATTTCATGTTCTCATCTAGTAAACTACACCGTCGTTTAATATTGTGAACACATACAAGGAGTAAGAAGTGTCAGTCACTCGGAGCTATCGTAATACCAATCAATAGTTTACGACATAAATTAATATCAGATTGTTGGAAAACCAGGGCCTGTGGATTTGGGTCTACCATAGGAGCAGGTTCAAAGTGAGATAGGCGGGTTAATATCGTTCATAAAACTACATATATTTTGTATATTTCACTTTTTATAATATATATTTACATATAAATATATACACAAGGCGTATATATTTACATATATTTATATATATCTCTCTATATTCTATATCTATATCTATATCTATATC